ACATTACTTTTCAGTCACTGGATCTCTACCACTTATTCGTGTCATTGAAGGACAAACAGCCATCATTCAGATTCCAGCAGCTGATTGGGATCGAACTGATGATATTCGTTGTCGTTGGGCTGATAGTTCAGGTCCTGCTGGAGATGAATGTGGTGATATATGTAATAATTTACCAGGTGCTAATTTATCATCCAGGTCAGTTTGCTCACTTCAATAGATGTGCATCAAAATTCTTCAATTCTATGAAACAAAAATTCATTTTCTTTATTCTCTAGTGAATGCACAATAACTTGGAATGCTGTTCGACGATCAGTTGATGCACTTTTAACTACAAGCACTTATGTAGTAGCAATCATGGTAGAAGATTTTGTCAATAGTGCAAGTAATACTCCTATGAGTTCAGTTCCATTACAAATGTAAACATATTCATCTCATTCAATCATTATCTTTCATCATACTTTCCTCTAATTAGGCTTATTTATACTTATCAACCTGCATCTGGAGCTTGTAACGACACCCCTGCAGTTATTGGTGATCGACCTAATCGAGCTTGTATTGGTAAGATATGAATATCAAAGTCATTTCTATATGATATATTCGATTTATAGGTGTTTTACCTGGTGTACAACATGTTGAACGAATTGTTGCTGCTGTTTATTGTACTGGTGATTACATCACTGAATTTATTACTATTTCACCTTTATATATGAAAAAAACAGCTATAGCACGTGTTAGTGGTACTACTAATCAATGGTACATTACACTCACATGGACACCAACTACTGATCAGAGAGGACCTCAAGTAAGTTTTATTATGTACTGATGAGAAAAGTCTGAATTACAATATGATCAGGTGTTTTGTGCTGCTCCTATTGATCAAAAAGAATTGACTGGATCTCAGCATTGTGTTAACTTTGTTGTTGGCTATCTTCCACCAAATCTCATCACTCCAAGACTTGTACAAGGTTTTCATCTGTTTTCTTTTCTTAATAATCTTACAAGATCTCCATTATTTTTAGGATCGGCCTCACCATTGGGTACAGTTTTTGCTAATCACTCTTTATTCAGTATTCAAGGTAAACTATTATTTTCGAATTTGTTTATTACTGAATATACTTTTCATGTGTGTTAAAGCCACAGGTGATGTTTATCGTCCTAGTCGAAATGGAACATACATTCAAATCTTTAACAAAGCAAATCCATCGTGCGCTGAATGGGAAGTAGATTGTGGTTATTCATCAGATTGTATCTATTCAGGACAAACTGTTCTTTTCTATGTTCGAAATGCTAATTGGGCTTATGGTGCTAATTATTATATTTTATTTTCAAGTGGAGCTGCATCTGGTAATATATTTTGTAATCCTGAATCAGATCCTATTACAGGTAGCTGTGTTAATAATTCTTATGATGTGAGACATTCCATGAAATGTTTTTCTCTAATTCTAGATACAAGCTTTTGGAATTTCAACATTTGGGATCCAGGTGTATCAAGTACAACAACAACAACGACAACTCCACCAACAACTGGTACTGTGACAACAAGAGTATGTTTCTATTGTGAATATTAGAGTATGATAAGT